ACTGACCCACACACATACTGGCCCACACACACAGACATACTGACACACACACACACAAACAGACATCCTGGTACAGACATACTGACACCCACACACAGACATACTGGCACACTCGCAGATATACAGACATGTACTGACACACACACACAGACATGCTGGCAGGGGTGCCATGTGTGTGAGAGGGTTGTTGAATGTGATCACTGCTGTGTGTGAAGGATGCTCTGGGTGTGTGTGTGTGTGTTTGCGTGAGGGGTGCATAGGGAAAAGGGCCTCAGTGCCCCCACCCTTCTGCCAACCCTGGTGGTCCGGTGGTGAGTAGTATAGATCTACAGCCAAAGGATCTCCCCTGTCGGCCCGGTACATGGGCAACGCTGGGGGTGGCCCTATGCTTGTGCCCATGCGGAAAGACGTGATTGGATGCCAGCCGACTCCACTGGCTGCAGGTAGAGAGGTAAATTGAAAAATCAGAGTCGGGATTAGGATTTTTCCATTTTTTTCTGAAGGTGGGTGGCCCTGAATTTAGGGCGGCTTGGGGGGCAATTGCCTCCCTGCCCCCATGTCCAGCATTGTTTCAAGGAGTCAAACTCCATGAATCTCCAGGGAGCACTTCTAGTGGCTATCTGGTAGACAAGCAGTACTACAATGTAAACATTGCAATTTGCCCACAGCACCTGCCTTGCTTCTTATTGAGCTGCATTGGGAAGTCTGAGATTGAAGACACAGAAAGTCAGGGCGGGGTTAGATGGGGAGGGCTTGCAATGTACTAAACAGTGATTTAAAAAAAAAAATTGGGTAGTGGCGTGTCCCTTGGAGGTGCGAAATGTAGGAAATTGTCATGGGCTGACCATATTTTAAAGCATTTAAATTAAAAAAAAAAAAAAAAGTCTACAAACCCAAATTCTCCGGCTCAACTACCATAACATGCAATTAAACACAACATTCCGCTTATACAGCACAGAAATCTCAATCTCTGCCAACTACTACACTATGGTCCCTCCCTCCCCAGCAGCTCCTACTCTATGGTCAATCCCTCCCCAGCATCTCCTACTCTATGGTCCCTCCCTCCCTGCCAACTCCTACTCTATAGTCCCTCTCTACCTACCAACTCCTACTCTATGGTCCCTCCCTCCATGCCAACTCCTACTCTATGGCCCCTCCCTCCCCAGCAGCTCCTACTCTATGGTCCCTCCCTCCCTGCCAACTCCTACTCTATGGTCCCTTCCTCCCTGCCAACTCCTACTTTATGGCCCCTCCCTCCCCAGCAGCTCCTACTCTATGGTCCCACCCTCCATGCCAACTCCTACTCTATGGTCCCTTCCTCCCTGCCAACTCCTACTCTATGGTCCCTCCCTCCCCAGCAGCTCCTACTCTATGGTCCCACCCTCCATGCCAACTCCTACTCTATGGCCCCTCCCTCCCCAGCAGCTCCTACTCTATGGTCCCTCCCTCCCCAGCAGCTCCTACTCTATGGTCAATCCCTCCCCAGCATCTCCTACTCTATGGTCCCTCCCTCCTGTAACTCCTACTCTATAGTCCCTCTCTACCTACCAACTCTACTCTATGGTCCCTCCCTCCATGCCAGCTCCCCTACTCTATGGCCCCTCCCTCCCCAGCAGCTCCTACTCTATGGTCCCTCCCTCCCTGCCAACTCCTACTCTATGGTCCCTTCCTCCCTGCCAACTCCTACTTTATGGCCCCTCCCTCCCCAGCAGCTCCTACTCTATGGTCCCACCCTCCATGCCAACTCCTACTCTATGGTCCCTTCCTCCCTGCCAACTCCTACTCTATGGTCCCTCCCTCCCCACCAGCTCCTACTCTATGGTCCCTCCCTCCCTGCCAACTCCTACTCTATGGCCCCTCCCTCCCCAGCAGCTCCTACTCTATGCTCCCTCCCTGCCAACTCCTACTCTATGGTCCCTCCCTCCCCAGCAGCTCCTACTCTATGGTCCCTCCCTCCCTCCCTGCCAACCTGGACTCTATGGCCCCTCCCTCTCTGCCAAATCCAGCTCTATGGCCCCTCCCTCCCTGCTAGCTCTCGCTCTATGGTCACTCCCTGGATCAGGAGACCGGAAGCGAGCTCGGACCATAGACTGATCGCCTATGGAGCAGAAGTGAGTGCTGGCGGGGGTGTGGGAACTCTGCCGGAGACTGAGTGTGTACTCCGGGGTTTGTAACTGGGGGGAGGAGGGTGCGGTGCTTGGCTGCAGGGGGTGTGGCCAACAGGTAGAACTCTCCTCAACTGCTGTAGAACTACAATACCTTGCATTACCACTGGAAACCAGCTTTATTACCACTGAACACCAGCCTTATCACTTTAACCAGAATTATTATCACTGGCAACCAGCATTACCACTGGCAACCAGTCTTATTATCACTGGCAACCAGCATTACCACTGGCAACCAGCCTTATTATCACTGGCAACCAGCATTACCACTGGCAACCAGCCTTATTATCACTGGCAACCAGCATTATCACTGGCAATCAGTCTTATTATCATTGGTAACCAACCTTATCACTGGCAACCAGATTTATCACCACTGGTAAGCAGCATTACCTCTGGTAACCAACCTTATTATCACTGGCAACCAGCATTAGCATTGGTAACCAGCCTTATCATCACTGGCAACCAGCCTTATCATCATTGGTAACCAGCCTTATCATCACTGGCAACCAGCCTTATCATCACTGGCAACCAGCCTTATCACTGGCAACCAGCCTTATCACTGGCAACCAGTCTTATTATCATTGGTAACCAACCTTATCACTGGTAACCAGTCTTATTATCATTGGTAACCAACCTTATCACTGGTAACCAGCATTACCACTGGTAACCAGCCTTATCACTGGCAACCAGATTTATCACCACTGGTAACCAACCTTATTATCACTGGCAACCAGCCTTATTATAATTAGAAACCAACCTTATTATCACTGGTAACCAGCCTTATCATCACTGGCAACCAGCCTTATCATCATTGGTAACCAGCCTTATCATCATTGGTAACCATCCTTATCATCATTGGTAACCAGCCTTATTATCACTGGTAACCAGCATTATTATCACTGGCAATCAGCTTTATCACCACTGGTAAGCAGCCTTATCATTACTGGTAACCAGCTTTATCATCACTGGTAAGCATCATTATTATCACTGGCAATCAATCAACCTTATATCACTGGCAACCAGCCTTATCACTGGAAGGCACCACTGGAGTTATAGTGTTAGAGCAGATACCTAGTGGTGGGCCCCTGTTTTTATAGTTTATATCAGTGATGGACATGATGTAGATTTCCCAGGTGTTGTAGAACTGCTTCCTTGTTAAACCTCAAGGCTGGCAAAACATAGTGTGAGTTGTAGTTCTACAGCGGGTGATGGGTTGAATGACCACCTTTTTTGGCATGCTGGCAGTAAAGGTTTAAAAGACAAGCTAGATAAATGGCAGTCTCTGAGAGGCCAGAAGGAGTTAGTTTTCCTACAGTTACACAGTGTAGTAATAGCTCTTCACAAGCTGTAGTAAATATATATTTCCTTTCCTGCATAATTCAACATTTTATAAATGTCCCCAATTTAAAGGCTAGTATGGTCACTTCATTAAAAATAAACCTACTCCTTCTAAAGGCTGACATGCATCCAAAAATGTGCTCTTTTTTTTTTTTTTTTTTAATTTTCTTCGCTCAGTAGATTGATTTATACACTGTACAAATCAGAAATGTTTATATAGTTCTCCAAAAACTGATTTGAGAATGATGTGCATTAATATCCAACAAAGGAAGTGAGACATTACCCCCTATCTCTCTATTTCTTGAAAAACGCATTAACATGCATTAATACACAAATATGTCCTGTGTAGGCTCCTAGGCTCTGCCGGAGACCTACATCTAACCTCTGTTCATACTCCTACCTCTGATGCTCACCTTAAAGGGACACTATAGTCACTAGTGCAACTACATGTATTCCTGTCCCTATAGTGATAACACGACCATCTAGCTCTAGGATTGGCTGAAACTGACAAGGAGGCAGATCAGGGGCAGAGCACACATGATTCAAACACAGCCCTGGCCAATCAGCATCTCCTCATAGAGATGAATTGAATCAATGAATCTCTGTGAGGAAAGTTCAGTGTCTGCATGCAGTGGGAGGAGATACTGAATCATAGGATGCTCGTGCACAGCAGATCTGAGCGGATGGAGGCATGTTATGCCTCCATCCACTGAGAAGTCCCTCTGGTTCACTCTGAGTGACTGCAACTGGAGGTGTTCCTAGCTTTCAATGAAAACACTGTATTTTCTCAGAAAATACAGTGTTTACATGAGAGAGGCTGCAGGGAGCTATAGTTCTCACCTGAACAACCTCATTAAGCTGAAGTTATTCAGGTGACTATAGACTTCTCTAGGACTGCACCGTTCCTATGGAACACCCTTCCCCTCTCTGTTAGACTTTTACCCAATCTCCACTCCTTCACAAAAAATCTTTGAAAACTTCTTTAGGAAAGCATATCAATTAAACTGTGAACAACTTTCCCTCCCCGCACCCTGATTCCTCTCCTGAAACTGTCATCAAAACCCTAAGCCATCAATGAATGCTATCCTAGCAACCTACTTTTCTACTCTACCCTTACCTTTTGTGTCACTATACCCCACTCCCTCTAGCATGTAAGCTCATTGAGCAGAGCCCTCAATCCCTCTGTTCCTGTGCGTCCAACTTGTCTGGTCACAAATACGTGTCTGTTAGTCCACCCATTGTACAGCGCTATGGAACTTGTTGGCACTTTATAAATAATAAAAATGTTTAATGGTGTTTTTTTTTTTGTATAGCATATAAGATTTCACCAAGGTTTTCATGTTCCAGAACCGTGATTGTTATAAATATATAGTATGTTGTTGTTTTTTTACACTTTT